GAAGTCATATGGCCACTCTAGATGCAGATGAAGCCAGGAAATACAGTCTTTAGTCTAGTGGCCAGAAGCCTTGCTAAAAATTCTGTGGAAGAAGGAGCAGGAAGATATTGGGGTACAGCAGCATTCTTTCTTTTGTTAAGATTTTATTGGGGAATTGGGGGAGGGGAACAGCATTGGGGAATCGGGGAAGGGGAACAGACAAGTTGCTGTCCTTTTGTTCCTCAGTCTAGTTGTGGAGAACGTCGTTTCACTGGCCCACGTTGGTATTATCATTGTGCTCTTCCTGGGTGAGGCAGATCAGTCACCAGCCTCTGGACTGGGGGAAGGGGAAGAGACAAGTTGCTGTTGTTTTGTTCTTCAGTCTAGTTGTGGAGGATGTTGCTTCACTGGCCCAAGTTGGCACCATCATTGCGCTCTTCCCGGGCGAGGCAGATCAGTTGCCGGCCTCTGGACGGCTGCTCACACTGGCTGCTGGCTACACACGGTAGCCCATGGCAACCCACTGCAACAGGGGCTGCAGCCTATGCCGTCACTGGCGACCCACGGCAGCCCAGCTCCAGGTTGAGCTGTTGTTCAGCATCTTAGCTGTAGAGGGCAGTGTCACTGGCTTTCATATGTGGGATCCGAACCAGGACCCTCTGCCATCCCAAGCCAGCTCTTAACCAACGCGCCACTCGGCCGGCCCTAAAAAAATATTTATTGAGCATCTTACTATGTGTACTGGGACACAACAGTTAACAAGACAGGAAGGTCCCTGTTCTCGTGGAGTTTCCATTCCAGAGGAAGTGGCAGACAGTAGAAATAGGAACACATAAATTAGAGAATTTCGGGTATGATAAATATAGGAAGAAAATGAAATTGGTGGTGAGAGGTGACTTGATCAATGGTGATCAGGGGAAGCCTCTGAGGATGTGACATTTGAGCTGAGACCTGGAGGATGCGAAGGGGCCAGTTATACAGACTTTGGGAAAAGCATCCTAGGCAGGGGGAACGGCAAGTACAAGGACCCTAAGGTGAGAACGAGCTTGTCTTGTTCAAGAAACAAGTGTAGTGACAGTAAGGTAAATGAGGGGAAGAGAGGTAGAGGTGGGAGGGGAAGACAGAGGGACGGTCAGATCTTTATGTGAGCATATGTTTTTATTTCTCTTGGATAAATGCTTGCTTCTATGGAATTGCTGAATCTCTGAGCAGATGAATATTTAACTGTGTGAGAGACTACCAAACTCTTTTCCAAAGTGGTGGTTCTATTTTACATTTCCACCAACAGTGTATGAGATTTCCAGTTGCTCCACATCTCTACTGATAGGGTCAGTCTTTTTAATTTTAGTCATTGTAGTGGATGTGTAGTGGGATTTCACTGTGGTTTTAATTTGTATTTTCCTCATGACTAATGATGTCGAGTGCCTTTTCACATGCTTGTTGGCCATTCAAATCTCTTCTGATGTGTGAGTTTAAATCTTTTGGCCATTTAAAAAATGGGGTTCTTGGTCTGATTTTTCAAAAAGCTTTCTCTGGTTACTGTGGGAAAGATGGGCTGTAGGAGGCAAAAATGGAAGCTGGGAGAGTGCGCAGTACTGTAGTTTCCACAGAGGCAAGCTTAGTGCAAGCTCAACACATTGCCTGCTTTCTGGGAAAGCCAGCTTTGGCCTTGCCCAACTCTTGGGCTGCTGCCAGGAGAAACTGAGACACTTCACAGATCTCATGGGGGCCAGGGGGATAGCCCTGCTTCCTGGAGTCTGGCACTGTGGAAGTGGGGCGGCACCCAGTCAGAAGGCGCCCTCCATCTCAGCCTCTTCCTTCACCCAATGAAGTGGAGACCATGGAGCAGAGAGACCAGCCCAGGCTAGCATTCTGTGATCTGCAGCAGTGCGGCCATACTGGTTGCTAAAATATTGAGATCTTTTTTGGTTATTAAAGAGCCTCTACCCCACATCCCACAAATATCTGTCACCACCCCAGTCTAATATTTCCTTGGGACACCTCAGACTTCCCCACATCTCAGCAACTAAAGGGGCACTCAGGACTCTGACCCAGGCCTATGGCCACATCTGTTCTGATTGGATGGTGCCTGGCTGTACTAGCTATTAGATGGCATTCTGAGACAGCCCAGGCCTGGCTGGAGTTGGGAGAATCAGATTAGGAGGCTGAAGCTGAGGCTGAGGGGTCGAAGAAAGATTTGTATTAAGGTGAGCCCAGAACTGGAGAGTCGAAGTAGTATAACAGTGACAATAATAATAATGATTAACGTTCATTGAGCATGTACAGTGTGCCAGGCAGGCGTTATTCTAATAGACCTCACAAAATCATCACAATAAACCAGACCATTGCAGCAGCCTGGCCCCAGTCTCCTGTCCCTGCCCCCTACAGTCTGTTCCTCATGCCAAGCCAGGGAGCCAGTGAACACCAGAGTCAGATCAGGGCCCACCTGGCTCAGAGCCTCCTCTGGTCTTTGATCATCCCTGGCCCACTCTGCTCCAGCCACCGATGAAGATGAACTGGAACTTTAAGCGACCATAATCAGTCAGGAGTGTCTATGGGAGGAGGGCTTATGGAAGTTCTCGCGCTCTATGTAATCGCAAGAACCCTACCCAAGAACCCTACAGGAAGAACTCTATGTTTATAATAAAGCTCTATGGCTCTAACTTCCACTTCCATTAACTTCGTTTTCCCTTCTATAAATACCCCTGCAGCTTGGCACACAGGCCAGAGTATGCATGTGGTTTGCCAAGTCTGTGTGCACTGGGTTACAACCCTTTCTTTTTCCCAAATAAATCCTTTTTGGTGACCAAACACCTAGTTGATATTATTTTTCAGTCAACACTACCCTGAGAGGCCTGGGGTGCCAGTAGGGCCTGCAGGGCCTGTTCTCTTCATGCTCACTCCAGACCTGGTAGTTGTCATGGTGGTGGGTGTGTTGGTTGTTTAGTGACAGGACTCAGCCAGGCCTGGGCAGTGGCAGCCATTAGCAGTGTTAAACAAAAAAAAACAAAACACCTTTCTTAGCCAAAAGCTTTTCTGAAAGAAAGGGTTTATTGAGCCAAATGCTAACCAGAAAAGTACCAGGTCCTGGGGTATGCAGTCTAAACCACCAACAGCAGGGCTAGATGGAGAAGATAACATGTCCACCATCCTGGAGTTTTTCCAGGACCCATCAGCTCCAAGTCAAATTGTTGTCTTTCAATCTTAGTTGTGCAGGGCACAAGCTCAGCTCCAAGTCCAGTTGCTGCTTTCAATCTAGTTGCCCAGGGTGCACAGCCCACCATCCCATGTGGGAGTCGAACCAGCAACTCTGTTGCTCAGAGCTAGTGCTTTAACCAACTGAGCCACCAGGCTGGCCCAGAGTTGGTGGCCCTTTTATACAATGAGTCTGAAGAGGAAAGATGTAAGTTGTTTTGTAAAAGTTTACACTGGCTATAGATAAAGAGGATGGGAGAAGGTGAGGCAGGGCTAGTTCTGGGACAGATGCATTGTCCATAAGGAAGAAGTATTTGCTCTTTTGGGTTGGTTGTGGGCAACAGTCCTGAAAGTTCATGCATAAGCAAAAAACTGAGGTGCCTGGGGTTGGTGGTGCCTGGTGGTTGGCTACTCCACGATTCTCTAGATAATTGCAGAAATAGCCTGCTGGAAGTTAATCCCAAATTTCAACACACATTCAGGAATGTAAGCAGTCTTTTGTTGCTTTTGCCCTTTAATTGTTAACTGATTAACCCCTCTTGTCTCTTCCTCCCACGCCCTGGCCTGCTGTAATTCAATTTAGTACATCTCAGAATTTTCTCCTAGTTAGAAGCCAGTGCTGCCTTGAAGACAGGGCCCTGACCCTCCTCCAGACTCCAAATCCCCTCCCTCCCTCAACCTTCCCTTCCCCCCCAAAAAAGGGCCACTCAGTGTCTGTCCCATGACAGGCATCCAGTTTCCCCTTTTCTCTCCTGAGCCCAGGCCCAGGGAGCTGTGGAGTGTGACGCCTAGACGGGGGAGGGGGGCTTCCTGCTACTGGCCCATCCCCCCAGTGCTCTAACCTCAGGTTCCTCCTTCCGCAGCCCCAGCTCAGGCTCCTGGAGAGGGCTACAAGTCCTTGTCCCCCTGATGGCCTCCCTCAGGCCTCACTTCCAGCCACTTCCTCATTCGTTGGGGCAACCCAGCCTGGCCCAGTGGGCACCACATTGTCCCCCACCTGCCTCACCCCAACCCTCAATCTTGTGTCTGTGATGTGTATAACTGTGTCACTGTCTATTCCTCTTCCTCTTTCTCTGCCTTACCATCGTTTTCTCCTTCGATATCTTTCATCTTGGCGCTTTTTGTTTTCTCTCTAAGGGTCAAATATCTCTCGCTGGGCCCTGCGTTCCATTTTCATCCTTATTTGCTGTGTGACCTTGGGCAAGTGTCTTTACTTCTCTGTAAAATGGGGGTGATAAGAGCATCTACCTCAGAAGGGTGTTGTTGGGATTAAATGAGTTAACACTTGGGACAGAATGCCTGCGCGTCATTAGTGCCCACATCCTGATGGCTTTCTTTTAATATTCTATGAGCATCACAAAGTTCTGATTATCTAACAATTATAGCCGGTGTTTATAAAAAGCTGACAAGTGTCAGTCTGTTTTAGAAACATTAATTTATCTGATCTCCACAACACCCTATGAAGTAGGTATTATTTTACTCCCTATTTTACAGTTGAGAAAACTGAGGCTCAGAGAGGTTGAGGTACTTGCTCAAGGTTGCCCAGCTAGGAAGAGGCAGAGCTGCTTTCAGTCATAACCAGCCACTGGTAGTCCTAGTACAATGATGTCTGACCCTGACTGAGGACCACTGGTAGTCCTAGTACAATGATGTCTGACCCTGACTGAGGATGGAGGACAAGTTCACACATGTAGCCTTTGCCCTTCATGTCTAGCCATTGGAGGCTGTAGCATGGCCTGTGGAGTGTCTGGGCCTGATTTCTTCTGCTGTTATCTGTCTCTGTCCCTCTTCCCCTTATCGTTCCCTCCTCCCTCCTGCCACCACCCACCTCAGACTTCCTCTTCACTTGGTTGGACGCTACACCACATCCCACAGGCCCTTGGACTGTAGCGTCCAGCAGCGTCGCCTGCATCATGAGGGACCTTGGACCCTCCAACAGGCTTCTGCTCCTGCCTCTCCTTCTGATTATGGATGGTGAGTTGGCTTCTGCAGCTGCCTCCTGAGTCCCTGGGCTCAGCTTGGGGCAGGGCCGGGAACAGGGTGGAAAGAGAGAACCAAAGGGGAGGGTTGGGACGGGAGCATAGCCCCAGCCCCCCAAACCCTATGGGTCTCTCTCAGCATCTGAGCCCCCAACATTTAGCCTCTGGTAGAAGCAGGGAGAGGGAACTCTAAGGGTGTTGTAACAGGACAAGCGGTATAGAAATAATACAATCCAGTGGCCTTTACACTGGCTGCAGGTCCTACCCGACTCCACCCTTGTCCCCTTGCTATCAGGACCCACCCTCCCCAGCTTCCACACCCACCCTCCAGTCATAGCCCTGTGCCCCAGTTTACTTTCTTTTTCTCTCCTCAGGTCTCAGCCCTGTCCAGGCCCAGAGCGGTATGCCTAGATCCTGCAATTCCCCTCCCTACTTCCCAAAGACTCCTCATCTCTGTCGATTCCCAAATCTCTCCAAACCTCCCCCTACTGACACCCCCTCCCAATTCCCAACTCCCATTGACCTCCCCTGACCCCAGTGCCACATACATTCCCAGAATGCAACTGCTCAGCGGTGAGCCCTGGTGTGCTGGCTGGGATTGTGCTGGGGGACCTGGTGCTGACCCTCCTCATCGCCCTGGCTGTGTATTCCCTGGGCCGGCTGGTCCCTCGGGGGAAAGGGGCCGTGGAGGGTGAGTGGGGCTGGTAGGGGGTGGCCTGGGACACACTGAGGACTTGTCTGGAGGGGAGGGTAAGGTCCCAAATCACAACCGTCCCAAGGGATGGTGATGGAGGGGCTGATTTTGCATCAACCAAGTGGTCCCAATTCACCACCTTGTCTGTCTCCTCAACTCTGCGACACTCCCCACCTCTGGCAGTGACCAAGAAACAGCGCATCACTGAGACAGAGTCGCCTTATCAGGTGAGGAAACCAGCTTCTCTTCCTCACATCTCACTCCTGCCCTGTGGGTGTTTGTCCTAAACACTTGCACCCACCCCACCCCACCCCTGCCCCAGTCCCTCTAGATACAGCGGTTCTCAACCTGTGGGTCGCGACCCCTTTGGGGGTCGAACGACCCTTTCACAGGGGTTGCCTAAGACCATCGGAAAACAAAAAGATATTTACATTACGATTCATAACAGTAGCAAAATTACAGTTATAGAGTAGCAACGAAAATAATTTTATGGTTGGGGGTCACCACAACATGAGGAACTATATTAAGGGGTTGCGGCATTAGGAAGGTTGAGAACCGCTGCTCTAGCACCTAGACCCTAAAGTCACTTTCTCAGCAGCATCTCAAACCCTTGAAGATTAATGGGGCATCTGTCCAAAACTACTTTCAGTGATGAATTACGACCTTATGCTCAGCTTAAAATGTGTGGAGAAGAAATACAGGGATGGTTTGCCCTTGCAAAGGGAAGTGCAGGCCTTAGCCAGAAGGCGGTCTCCGAATTTCTCTGGAAAAGCCCAGCCTGAGACAGACTGATTTCCGGGAGAAGCTCTCATAAGAGCAGAGGATATAATTCAGCCCTAGTTTGGTAACTCCAAAGAGAGGAGTTCTAGAATTTTGCATGGCAGAGATACTGCATCCCTTTGGGAAGCCGATGAAAGCTAGAGACTCCTCAGAAAAATCCACACAAAAACAAACAAAATTGTGCATATAATCTAGGGGTGGTGCAAGTATTCTTGAAACCTCTCTTAAGAACCATGATGCAGATACAGGCATCTTTCCATCTCCTGCCTCTCTATCAACATTGTTCTTAACCCTTTAGGGGGTCATGAGCTCCTCAGAGAATCTAATGGAAGCCAAAAAGAACCCTCCCCAGAAAGATGCACAGCCAGACTGGCCATGTGCATATGATTTCAGGGCTTTTGTCTAACCCCTGCCTCTTGGGGCCATAGACCCTCCCCCCAGCAACTGTGAGCCCTGCTCTGGGAAGTCTGTTTTGCTTGTTGGCAACTAGCTTTGCTTTGCCTCACTTGTGGATAAAAAGTCTCTTTGTAAAGTGTGAGAATATTGAGTCCGGCTCTGTGAGGTTTAGAAGACTGAAGAGGCTTTCCAGTTACTGGGGGCAGTGAAATTTTAGGGCAAAGCGTTGCTCCACTTTATTCATTCCTTTGGTGGAATTTGTTGAGCGCCTATATGTGCTAGATGCTGGGAACACTGCAGCAGAGCTTATGTCGTAGTTAGAGAGATGGACTTGAAGCCAATTAACAATAAGATCACTTTGGAAGGCACCATGAAGAAATAAAGCAGGCTGATGTGACAGTAACTGAGGTGTGGGGGGAAGAAACTACAGATGGGGAAATCAAGAAATGCCTCTCTGAGGAAATAACATGAGCTGAGACTTGAAGGGGGAGAAGGAACCAGGCAGAGAGAACATTATGTACAAAGGTCCTAAAGCTGGGGCATAATGATGAGGCAGAGGAGAAAGGGGAACTTGGAATGCACTTGAATAAAATCGAGATCTCTAACATGGCTGCAAGTTTGAAGAAGCTACCAGGGCCTTGCAGGCCACTGGGAGTAGGCTGGATTTTGTTTCACATTTATTTGGTGATAAATAATCAATCATTCCACTGATGGTCCTCACCTTGTCCCATCCCTTTAGGAACTCCAAGGTCAGAGGTCAGATGTCTACAGTGACCTCAACACACAGAGGCAGTATTACAAATGAGCCCAAACCACTGCAGTCAACAACCTGATGCCTGGATTCAGTCATTCCTGATGCCTACCCAGCACCCTACTCCTACTTCTACCAAGATACAGATCCACAGAGTGCCCTCCCTGAGATGCCAGGCTTTTCCCCACCCCTGCCCCAAATAAACACAGAGCACAAAACACTGTTGAGTTATTCCAGATCCCTGGGCCGATGGGATGCAGCTATGTGGGGTTCTGGGAGGGTGGGTCATGGACCCAGAAACAGCTCAATGGGAGGGAAGCTTTGGGGACCCTGGGGTTCTTTGAGTAAGAATTAGAAGTCGAGGTATTTCAATTGATTTATTTCAACCCAAAGAGGGGAGTGGGTTTCCTGTGCCACCACACATAATCCAGAACGAGAGGATCAGAAGTTGAAGATTGCAGTTACAGGGGGTTCAGCCTCTGCCAGGCATGTTGATGTAGACTTTGTTGTCTCCTGGGGGTGGGGGAGAGAAAGCATGAGACCTGACCCCCCCCCAAACACACACACACACACACACACACACACATCTCCACCTCCCTGGGGACCCCGTGTCTCAGGGGTTTCCTCAGGATTTCCCCTCAGCAGCCCCCCCAGGGTTTCCCCAGCAGTGTCTCCAGGGCTTCCCCAGGGGCCCCCTCCATGGGGACCTCCTCCCTAGGGACACCCCCACCCCCTCCGGGCCTTACTCTGTCCCAGCCCTCACCTTGGGTGGGCCTGCTGCGTGGGCGTGCACATACAAATACCACCACCACGATTAGCAGGGACACAACCGCATCGATGGCCACAAGGCCTGCCAGGAGTGGCAGAGAGAGGGGCCCACATCCGGAACAGGAACCTGAGGGTGTAATGGCCAGAACAAGAAGATGGCTGAGTAGGGTTCCAGGCCTTCAGAACTGTGCTTTGGGCATCTGGACAGAGGAAGTCCCTGAGGGGTGTCCCAGATTCCCTGGAGTTGCGCTTGGGGGGCGGTAAAAAGGGAGATAGAATTCCAGAGAGAGTCTGGGGGTGTCCCAGCATAGCGAGACATATGCTGTGCTTTGTGCATAGTGGGTTTTACTGATGAGAGGCTGGTGGGTTGGCCGAGTCCCTGGGGCTTCAATTTGGTGATGAGGGCAATGAAATGGGGATCTGGAGAAGGCTGCTGATCATCTCAGGGCTCCAATTTGGGGATGAGAGGCAAGATGGTGACCTGGAGAGCCGCTGGGGGGTGTTCCAGGTCCCTCAGGCTACACTTTCGGGATAGAAGTAATACCTGAAGTAGCATGGCAAAGGGGAAGGCGTGTTGATTTCTCACCTGGGGTTATCTGAGCTGTAGCCACTGTGGAAAGAGAGGGAAGGTAGTCAGCAGGGGGAGATGGTTCCCAAAATAAGGTGCAGGGAACGGTGATGTCCCAAAAAGTAAATTCCACTCCAGAAAGATCAAATGAGAAAGAGGGGCCAAATGGGAGGGGAGCTCCCCGAGATGCAGACAGAGACAGGAAATCAGAAGAGGCAAAGACCCAGCAGTGAGAAGGGGAGATTAACAGGTAGGCACTCCAGAACTCAGCGCCCCTCTTCCACCCCCAAAGAAGCAAGCCCTGAAGCCAAATGTATCTCTGGGAAAGGAAGGGTCACTGGGAAAAGGACCCGCACTCAGCGCCCCTCCCTTCAGATGCCATCTAAGCCACCCCGTTTACAAATACTCTAACACACACACACACACACACACACACACACACACACACACACACACACCCATAACTGCTGGCTTCACCTGGGAGCAAAAGCAGGAACAGGATGTTGCCTGGAGGGATCATGGTGGGCTGGGGGCTGGAAGGGGACTGGCAAAGGGCTTTGGTCCAGAGATGTTCTGAGGAACAGTGGGAGAGTAGAGAGGCAGCAATAGCGGATGTGACCCTGCTGGTGGCAAGACCATCTGTTTCCTGTATGTGTGTGGGAGGAAAGGTGCTAGGTCCCTGTGGCTGCCTTTGGG